CCCACCCAGCCCCCCCCCCCAGTGGGAAGCCAGTGCTGGTGCACCAACATCACGCAGGGAGAGGGAATGGCTGGGGGGAGGAGGGGACAATGCAGGCTCCCCGCTGTGGGGGAGGCCCCAGCCTGGGTTCCACCTGTCAGACGGTCGCACTGAGAACCACAGCTCTAGAGGTGGGAGCTGTATCATCCTCGCCTTCGGAGGACCGGAGGTGGAGGGAAACAGCACACACTGGTGCGTGGGTTACACAAACCCACTTCGACACCAGCATCCTCCACCACAAAGAAATCCATTGTGCAAATGTGCATGGGAAGCCAATAAAAAGGGGCCAGGAAGAGGCATCACTGCTGATTTCGAGCAAGCCAGTATTCCCACCCACCCCGTCCTTATTTTTTTCCCTTTGCTGCCTTCCCCCAGCTCGGTCAGAACATTAAAACTCCCGACTCCGAGCGAAGTCGTCTGCCATTAGAATTCCTGCCGGGGGCGTGATCCCCGGTTGCAACACTCCCCAAACATCATTCCGCAATCACACGGAAAGTGCGAGAGCTGCACGGACACGCCCTGGGTGGGGCCCTGCATTTCAGACCCAGCTGAATTTTGAAACCACCCTCTCTGCCCTCCAGCTCATGACTCCAGCATGATTACAAGCAGCACCGTTTGCAACCCCACCCTTCCCTCTTAGGAGAACCTGCTGCTGCCTTTGCTTAGGAAGCCGCATCTCTTGACCCAGCTGGAGGCACTGGGATCTTGTCCAGTTGCTAGTGCGTGATATCCACTGAAGTGGTGCCAGGAGCCGGTAGCTCCCAGCCATTATGGGTCAAGGCCAAATGCATAAGTAGAAGCAGAAATTCTCTTTGATGTAGGCCATACACTGCTCAGTTTCACAGCTCTGCCCCTCTCCTCCCTCTCACAGGCCGAGCTCTCCCTGCAGAAAGAGCAGCTGCAGCTGAAAATCGTGGAAGTGGAGGATGAAGTGGAAAAGTGGCACAAGGAGAAGGATCGCATCAAGGTGAGAGGGGACACTCCCATTAGCTTCCCCCCACCTTCCCTCTTTGCCCCGTCCCTGCCCACATGCTATCCTCTCTCCATCGCGCTTTCCTGCATCACCACGTTTTGGTCTTTGCCTCCCGCTTTTCCCATGCGCTGATTCTCCCATTCATATTTTCACATCATGCTCATTTCTCCCCCTACTCCACTCCTCTCTGTTCACCTGATCCACCACCCTCCTTCTAAGCCTGGGGGAGTGGTGTCCACTGCAGTTCTCATGGCACAGCCTGCAGGAGACCAAGAATGCACCAGAGGGATGTGCTAGGTGACTTTTCTAACTACCGTATATACTCGAGTATAAGTCGACCTGAATATAAGCCGAGGCACCTAATTTTACCCCAAAAAACTGGGAAAAAGTATTGACCCGAGTATAAGCCTAGGGTAGGAAATAAGGCAGCCTAGGGTAGGAAATGAGTCGGGGCGAAAGCTGCTCCGGTGCCCCTGGTCTGCTGGAGACCGTCTCCAGCAGACCAGGGGCACCGGGCGGGTTCCCGCGCTTCTGAGGCTTTGCTCTGGCAAAGCCTCAGAGGCGCGGGGAAGCGCCGCTGCTGCCGCTTCAATCTGGGTGCCTGTGGGCTGCTGGGGGCGGGCCCCAGCAGACCACAGGCTCCCGGGCCGAAGCCCCCGCC